TGATTATTTAGCAATGTAACAAATGACCAAGGTGGATATATAGTATTAGAAAAAAGAAACAATATTGCGTCATTTTTCCAATATTAACAGTGTCAAACATCGGATTCAAAGTTTAAAACGCCACGCTAAAAGCTAGATCATTTCATCCACTTCACTTACTTATGTGTGATGGAATACAGATCAGATTAACCTGTTGTCAAGACTAGATTACGATAACGCTTACCAAGCTAACAGTTTATTTTTTAAAAGCACTAAACCGCAAACTTTAGCAATAAACCGCAAATTGATAATAATACCGTCATTATGGTAAATGCAACCTTCTTTTCAAACAAAATGGCATTCAGGAAATTTAAAAGACTTATCCATCTTTATATAGATTAAACATGTCTTAGTTTAACAATCCTATTAAACATGATCGATGAAAAGAGACAAATGCAACTAACATCACCTCCAGTTTGCCACCACCATCTTTTCACTAGGACATCAATTATAAAACCAAAGTATTTTCTTCTTTTCAAACATATTCACAATATAATGAAGCCCCTGAATAATATTAAATAGAAATTTGAGAAATAGAATTATTGGAAAAAAAATACTCACCGAATAACAGCACAAAATTGTAGGTAATAGAAACTTGTCCACCTTTACATGATTTAATGAGATATTCCTCATTTATTGAAATATTTTATCAAGATGCAAATGAATAGCATAACAAAATGTACAACAGTATGTGGGAAGTAAGTGGCGTAACTACTACTATACCCAGTTCATCAAATTGCGCCAAATTTATTATCCTTTAAATATGCATGAGGAAATAGAAATCAAAATTAATGAAATGAACTATTGCTCTTAAGCAGTGCGTCAAATCCACCAGGTAGAACATTTTAAATCCATAAAAAAAAGAACAAAACAATAACTGTTTTTTGTCTTTTTCAAGATGTCTAAATTTCATCAACAATTAATTAAAATAATAATTAAACCATAGTAGTAAACTGTTCCGTATAACAGTAAATATATTCAAGATCTGGCATCGTTCTTCTTTGGTAAGTTAAAACTTAACAATCTTTTGAAACAAAACAAAAAAGGTAAAGTCAAGAATCAATCAAAGGAGCATAAATGTACATCTACATAACAATAGCTATGAAAATATAACTGATAATTATAAATCTCTCATTATTATTCTACTGACTGCGCGGACGATAATCTGAATCGGATGAGTCTGTATCACCTAGATAAACAATTCGCAAACGTTTACGACGGCGAGGTCCTGAAACTGATTCCCGACTTCCACTGGGCTCGTTGTCATCTGCTGGCAAACTGTATCCTAAATAAAATATGAATAGGGAGAATTAATTCCAAATACTAACTGCTGTTGGATTATATATATATATATATATATAATCCAGTCATTGCAAGAAAAGCATTTTCCAAGAAAGATTTAATTACTGCGAAAGCGTGAATATAAACATTCGGATCAAGTTAAAAACAACTACATTGGAATAATTTTTGTCCTCTAATTACATTTTAAGACAACAATATCCCAAGTATTTACTTCCATCGAATGTTCGGCTGCTATTTGTACCTGTAGCACTTGACGTTGTCAAACTTATAGTTCCTTCTCGGGTCGCTGCATCTCGAGTACGAAGTCGTGTTTGCCGCCGGTTAAGCACACCCGAGTTATACTTTATATCATACAGTTCAAGCTAAACGATAAAAGATTAATACATTTCCAAAGATAGAATTTTGAATTTTAGAAGCATAATAATTCACTTCCTTTATTGTGTAAGTTTGTAATTATATGTAGTACCTAAGCACCAAAAGACAAGAAATCGATGGATATTGATATTTTCAGATTTTCAGCTAAAAAAAATCAAAGGAACTTATGTGGCTTGATTTCTCCATTACTGCATTGTGATAATATATTTGGACTAAGAAGAAGACAAGAAAACAGCATACCTCATTATGTTTCGGTTTTCCCCACTCGACAACTCCCATTTCCTGCAAACGCTGAACTTCAAGGTATGATTTCCGAGGCCCTCGTTGATTAAAGCACATTAGGACACCAGACATATCAAAATGTAAAATAGTATTCTAAACAATATTGATCAATATTAGTATTATTCAAGTCCTGAAACTTGAATAGCTTCGAAATGAAGAAAAAAAAATCAATAAAAAATTCAAAAAATCAAACAAAATTCCATTAACAAAACTGGTAGTTTTGACCATTCTTGTATCTAAATAATTCTAGATTGGTAGAGATAAAGAAACAAGTTCCAAATGAATAAACTTAACCTCTCTTATCGGTTCACGCATCATCGCAATTTTCAAAATAGTACCGGTAGCATCATCCAATAAAAAGATCACAGTGCACATATCAACTTCATCCAAGTATATATTACGGCGAGTCATTGCATCGAACGGTCTTCAAGGAAACTTCCTGATTTTATTCGTAGAGTACTTCACCCAAAATTTCAACCAACAATATTGAAAGTCAATGCTGACTACAATCAGAAACAAGAACGAAAAATTCATCCTTTCTTATTATCACTTCAAACATTTCCATCATAAAAATTTATCTCCTAGGAGAACAACGGAAATAAGAACGAAGAGAAACGAAGAAATAACGTGATCTGAAGAAATTAGCTATATTTCTTGAGATAATGATTGAGAAACGACTTGAAAAGTGAAGACTGCTGTTTAAGGTTAGATATATTTGAGAAACAAACCGGCTCGGATCATCAAAAACTGGCGAGTGAAGATCACACTCCGCAATAATAGCAATAATCTGGCTTTCAATATCAACATCCACTCCTTTGATGACCTTAACCACAGCGATAAAAGATGTTGTAAGTAAAGAATACAAGCTTTCATAATTCACAACCTTTAGTGAACATTACGGACTAAACAAAGAGACTATTGATGACTGCAGAACTTCCAGAAAGTTTTACAAGATTTTCACTTTAATGATAACCTGATCTTAAACCCATCACTTAAAATTACATTAGAATATTAAGGCTTAACTTAATAATGCAAGCATGTGTTTACGAAGAGATCGAAATAGAAATTATATAAGAGAAATGAAAACAGTAATATGGTGTCATCATTTTTAGTACTGCGAGGGATCAGATAAACATACCAGTCGAAAGTCTTGATCAAAATCGGACGTTGGCTTAATATGACGTCCAAAACTTGATTTAATTTTTACGTTGCTGCAAATAAGCTAGTTAATGAAACAGAACTATATAATCATAATGCTAATTTCAGTTTAAAACAATTTTAAAAAGTGGAAAGGTCGAAATACCACAACTGCGAAAATGATGCGGTATTCTAATGCAGATTTACTTTGCCAACATTTCGCCACACAGAGTTTTCCTTAGTGCAAAATGCAGTTTTCTTCCCTACTACAGAGAATAAACCGTAACCTTTCAAGCTTTTCATGAAAGAAACTATCTTTCACCCATAAATTGGTTCGCCAGACTTCTTGAAATGACATTTTATCATTTACAGATCTGCAGAGAGAAAAAAATAGAACAAACGATAATCGATGATCCTATTATTTTTTAGTGAGCCAACGGATAACTGCATAGCCTCCTGCATACAGTATGCATTTGGTCATATCTAGTGCCGAAGTAGGAGGAATATTTAATTTTAAAAATTCAAAGAACTTTTCAAAAAACTTTCGGGAAACATTAATTACCGCTTCATCTTGTACGACACAATTGCTGGTCCATCAAAACGAAGCAACCGCCCTGATTCGTCTGAATGGAACATTAAGCTAGCTCCTTCCACTTGCAATGATGTATTTTTCGGTGGCTGCAGTGGAAATGGTAGTGATGCCTGTAACTATGCTCACTGAAGAGACAAAAAAAGAAGCTAAAATCTCACCATAATAGAAAGCTGATAGAATTTCCTTAAACGTTATATATCCACTCAACGAAAAATGGTATGAATCTGCAGCCTTTTCCCGACACCATTCACGTTTCAAAAGAAAGATCTACTGTTTTATACATTTCATACGCGATATCTCCCAAAACTGCTGGTAATCAAGAAGTTAATTGGATGATAAACCGACCGGTTCTGTCATTTTCGCAGCATCAACTAACATGTACGGTTTTTTAGAAGAATACGAAATGCCCAACAAATGATATGGTACACCACTATATTCTAGCGTTGACCAATTACCTGTAATTAATGTTCATACAAAGGAACACAGGAACACGGCCTAACGACTTAAAGAAAAACTCTGTTCATTTGCCTATCCGATTTACTGCGCCAATTACGCTTTTTGAAGTCCTTTTCTGAAGTACAAAAACGATTACCTGCAACTCTTGCACATTTGACCGGTTCCGATATAATTAAAGTAGGTATAGGCAAAACTATTTTTCCATCAAACCGTAATTCTGAGTCATATAATCCTTCTTCAGTCTGTAAATAATTTTTTTCCCTACAAGGAATCCTAGTTCCCAATCTTTCAATTTCTAAACATATATTAGGATACAGATGATAATAAATAACACAACAGAATAAAAAAAGAAAATTCCATGCAGCACTGAGAATACCATGATCTTTATAAGAAATAATAAAACAGTGAAGATTTCACATATGGAAATATTTACTTGATTCTGAAAATCGACCAAATTGTACAACACCGTTTCGTATGGCTTCTTCTTGAAAACAATTACCATATCAGATATTACACTCACGTTTGTAACATTTCCAAAAATCTTAAAAAACCAGTTACACTAAAAATCTAAGTAGTTGCTTAACTTGTTGCGAATAATGAAAGTAAAAAATATATATAATGAAGTACAAAGGTATATAATGAAGTAATAGTGAAATACAAAATTTGACAGAAGTATCAAACCGTGGAATTCAAGTTTGAAACAAAGATCAAATTTGCGGAACAGATGTACGGTGAAATCCTATCATTTTTAATTCACTCGTTAGTCAGGTTATCAAAGGAAAAGAATATCTATAGTTAAAGTAATTAAAAGACTTCGATTTTCTGATGATCATTCGTTAATCAGAAAGAAAAGAAAAAAAAGGAAAAAAAAAAAACCTCTTTTGTGATGCGGAATATGCCTTTAAATTTAAGTGGATAAACATCAAAGACGCCGACAACACAATCTGTCCCACTGGTACTGCTGCTTCGTGCGCCGTCCTGAACCAGCAAGCTATATAAAACAGTTTGTTTTATCGTATAAATATCAAGTTTCCATATTTGCTGATGAAACAAATACCTGCGACAACATATGTCCAAATAAGCAAAACGTTCGACCGAGTTCATTGGGTGCCAGGCAGCTGCAAAATTTATATTTTTAGGATAAAACGAACAATGGCCTCAAATCTTTTCTTATTTCCATCCCTTAAATAACGTTTAGTATTGTCTCAATATTCTTCTCCTCAATAATTTAGAAAAAAAAAAGAAAAGAAACACGATGCAGAACGAAAGAGTATTGTTGATGGCAATAGCTCAATAGTACTTTAAAACAATCCATTGGGTCTGTATACCTAAGTACTTGAGCAAAATTAGGATCTGAGTAAATATATACATTTATTTGGATAAAGGTGCATGCATGCGTATGTGTATATTTGTGTGTGTATGTGTATGTGTGTATGTGTCTGTGTATAAGTGGTGTGTGTGTGTGTGATTATATGAACCTCTGAATGCATGCTGTATAAATTTAAATCACACAAAAAAGTTTGCGCGTGCTTGTGCGTATGCACATACATGACTAAAGAATATTTACAACAAACGTTTGATCAGCATGTACAAAAAGTAATTTTTCGAAAAAAAAAGCAGAAAATAAAACAGAAAACCTGAATTTACAGGAGTCTGATGGCAGTATAAACTCAGCCTCTACTGACTGACGTAGGGGATCAATGCATAGCAAACGATTTTGTGTTAAAATTAATACCCAGAATGGTGAAGAATTGGATGTCCCCTCCTGTAATATGGATTACCTTTAGGATAAAGAATAAAGATATTATAGATAGATGAACAAAATTAGTATTTGTAGAGAATTATGAATACAGAAAATGCAACGAACTGCCACTATATGGCCACAATTTTAGGCTCTTTCCTTCTGTAGCTAAATATCATCAAACATGACGCACTCGTAGAACACATTATAACAATAGAAAAAAATCAATTATACTGAATTTGGTTTCATTCGGTGCGTAATTTCCGAAACTGCGTCGTGCCAAATATTTTTTTTTTTTACAATATTATAGCGTACAATAACTCATACTAACTGAAGTCTAAAATAGCTTTCGAGTATTAATTTTGCTGAGTGAATAATAAATAAAGAAGCTCGGAATTGTGACCTTACAAACAAGTAATATTCAAAAGTCTCCAGACTTACTTACCATACTTTGTTAGATGTGATTCTAAAGAGATCCTTTCAGATCAACTCGAACATACCACTCAGAAAACAAGAAAATTACTGATGAGAAACACTGCGTGATATAAATACAAACCTGCAAGTCAACGACAAGTTCAACCCAAAGTGTTGACAGAATCTTCTCCATTTCGTCTAACATATCCAGTCGGCATAATGGCTCCAAAATATCAATGTTGTAGATTTTACGTGCTTTATGTGCAACCAATAAACCCCTATATATGATGAAGATATACTAAAAGGTCTTATTTTATCAGCAAGTCATTCCAAAAAGAGAAACAGCTTCCTTCCCTCAACTGTACTACCCTCTCTTAAGAATAATACGGGAAGCATGTTCAGGACTGCCAATTTTCCACTAATAATTTCCCTAAACTTACTGTTTTTGCTAAGCTACTGCACAAGAATCACATTATGGAACTCACCCGTCGACGTTAAGGAATCCTCTTGCATCATGCCTCTCACATAAGACATATCTCCGATTATTCTGCAAAATAAAATCTAAACAAACATCATGAAAACTCGGAATCGACTAAAGACATCAAAAGCATACGGCTTACAAAAATTTGATTCCATTAAAAGGTATTCTAACATTAAAAAACAAAAGTTTAGCAACTAAGACTATGAACTTCTCACAAAGTTGAACTGTAAAAACAGTGAGCTTCTTTACAACCCCATAAAACGACCATATGTAAAATAATATAGTCCAAAATCAACATGCTAAACTAAATTTACAATACAACCTTTATCTTATCAAATCCCATACTACTAATAATCCGGAAAGAAAAACAATATAAAACATGCCGACATAATGAGTGAACGTAAAGCATTTCTACCAAAACTGCATTGAGTTCGCTGAAGTCCTAATTCACGTCGAACGATTAATCGCGCTACTGACGGATGTTTCAGTATTTCTGCTGGATTTTTCTCACTTCGCATATCCAGACATGATAATAATCGATGAGATAGCTTCAACAGTGTTACTATTCAGTATTTAATAATATCATTCAAAAGTGAGAAACAAAAAAAATTCGCTTGAAAATGAATAATCGAAAAGGGAAAAAGGGAAAAAAAGATTCAGTTATTCTACATGAATTGCTAATGGAAAAATTAAACTCATAATTGGATAATTTCAAATTTCTCGATCATAACACCTTCAATTATAATCGCAAAAAGTGTATTTCAATATGATATGAATCGAAAAAACAAAATGTACCTCATTGTAACCATCATCATCATTGGGTCGATGAGTATTTCTTGATTCTACATTCATTAAACGATTTAGTAACCGGTTTGCAAGCGATGATGTTCCCATACTTTCTTACTTCCACAATTTATTTTTCCAACTCTCAGTTATTCCCTTAAATTAACAAGTATTTGATTCCCAAATTTTATGCTTTATTTCAAATGTGAATATAAAAAATTTTGAAAACTCTGACTTGAACCCAAATGAATCATCTTCTCTGATCTCTCTCTCTTTCTCTCTGAGCCGACTATCTTATCCAAAATCTCGACAATTCCCAATAGTTCCCGTCCTCTGTTCTGTCAACTATGTACTTCCTTCACTTCTCCTCTTCCCCCGCTTCCATGTGTCTGTTTAAAAAGGACGCGGTCCTATTTGTACGTAGAATGAAATAAAAGGATCTCAAACGTAATATTATAATGCATTCATGATGGATAACGCTTAGGATCTAAAAATTGAAATAACTATATCCAGTTAATTAGTTAGGGAAGAATATTTCCGGTTTGTTAAATAATGATTCCGGTTTAACAAGTGATTTTTCTTCATAGAAGCAATCTGGAATCAATCCTTTGGCACTTCTTTTTTTTTTTTATCATTCGAATTAATGAAAAATTGTAATTTTGAAAAATTTTCTATTCTTTCATTTTAAAGAAATGGGATTAATCATTCTAATAAAATAATTAAAGAATAGATTTAAAAATTTTTCGAACCAAGTTATTTGAATTTAAAATCCGTTTTTGAATTATTTTTATTGATTAAAACTTGCAGTAAATAAAATTACCACAAATATCTATTAGTAATTTACTACTAAATATAATTGGGAGTAAATTTAATTGCAAAAAAGAAAAAGAAGCATTTGCATTTATTCAAACTACATTATCAGCAAATAATATGATAAAAAAAAAAAAAACAGCACGTCTTTACTGCTGTTACAGTTTATTTTTATAATATCACTATATCACTATCATCATTATTATCCACTATCACCATTATCACTATCACTATTATTATTATTATCATTATTATTAAGAGAATTTACAGCGAATTTATTGATAAATTACAAGAAGATTATAGAATTAGAATGTTACAATGAAAATTATGCAAATAAATGTAATATAAGAAAAAAAAGAAAAAGTATGATATATATGATTGATAAGAAAAAAAAATGGTATTTTAATATACTCATATCTATTATTCATTAATATTTTTATTTCATTATTAATTGAGTTTAAATAAGTTATTAATTTTTAGTTTTCTTTGCTTTTACTTAAAATTTTTTTTGAAAAGTGAAAAAATTGCAAATTTTTGAAAAAAGGAAAAACAATTAATGCAGATGAATAATGCTAAAAAACAAATAAGCAATGATATGTTAAATGATAAGAGCTGCATAAATACAAACAAGTAGTGATACATTATATGATAAGACTGCCCGTAAATAGGTGATAAGTAGGATGATAAAAACAAAAAAAAAAGGAAAATAACAAGTAGTTGAAGAAGTAATATCAAAAATGATAGTATTACTGATATCATTTATAGACCAAGGAGCTATTACCATTTTCAATCATTAATCTTCCAGCTATTTCAATAAGAAAATTAATTTTAGTAAAAATTGAAGTAAAAAAAGGTTAGTTTAATGTGTGAAACAATTTTGCATATTAAAAACAAAATTTGAATAGCAAACAAATTCAAAATATAATATTTCAACAGTTATTGCATCTTTTTATTATTCAATCTTTCGGCTATTGGTCATCATTTGCAATTATTTGTCTGATTTACCTTTTATTGCAGTAAACAACAAATTTGAATTTGTAAAAAATTTTAATTTATTTTCGATAAAACTTCAGTAAATTATAAAATTAGATAATTTCAATAATTTCATATAATAAAACTTTTTTCAACCTCAATAAATTATAAAAATTGATAATTTCAAATAATTTCATAAAATAATTCTTTTATATAATTAATCCTTACTGTGATAATTAGTTCAGTTCAAATTCTTAATTATGATTTTAATTGCATACACATTTTTATTAACTTTTTTGCAACTGATTTTTTAATTTTAAATTTCACTTTTGAATTTTGTTACTATCATTACATGATAATCAGTAACTATTATTATCTGACTCTTTGTTAATCTATCTTTTGTTATTTTATTGTATTTTCGTTTTTGTTAAGCAATAATTAATCTATTACACTTAATAATTTCAACATTTTACTTGTAATTTAATTACTTTTTATTGTATTAGAAATATTGCTTGTAATTTAATTACTCGTTATTATGTTACAAATATTACTCACAATTTAATTACTCTTTGTTGCATTAGAAATATTATTCATAATTTAATTACTCATTTTTGTATTAGAAATATTATTTGCAATTTAATTCTTGTATATCGTATAATAAATAACGCTTGTAATTTAAGTATTCGTTATTTTATTACAAATATGGATTGTAATTTGATTACTCTTTACTGTATTAGAGATATTACTTGTAATTTAATTATTCTTT